TGTATGGTTGGACTCGTATCAAAATAGGAGTTCGGATTTTGTGAGTTTCGTCGGGTTCCAAGACGTGGACCCCACTGTCGATTTTTCGAATGGAGTTGGAAATTTTTGTAAATTTTTAAATTGTAAGCATTAGAGTAAATTGTGATTAAATTGCACGTTGTTTGAATAGATACGAGTCGTTTGGCTTGAATTGAGGAGATATGAAGGCGTATGGAGGTTGATATGCGCGGAATGGAATTTCTGGAGTATTGTACAGCTTGCTCGGTATTGGATTTGGCTTGTTCGAGGTAAGTAACTCTTCTAATCTTGGAGCTGAGGGTATAACCTTTAATTATACGTGTTATGTGTTTGGTGTTGAGGTGACACACATGCTAGGTGACGGAAGTGTGGGCGTGCACCATGTGAACTGTGATTCCATTATTTCTGTGGTACTGTGTAGTTACCCGAACTTATATGAAATCATGGAAATCTCTACGTACTAGAACTATTGAGTTGATAATCATGCTAAAATCATGTTGATGCGGTACCTGAGTTGTCCAGACGGCGCAGCAGGCCATATTGGCTTTATATACTTTATTATTATGTGGATTTGGGCTGCCCGCCTTCAGCAGGCCTTATAGGCTTTATTATTGCACGTGAGTTGTCCATGCAGATTATAGCGCTTGGGCTGAAGGAGCCCCTCCGGAGTCTATACACACCCCCAGTGAACACAAATGCCTACTGAGTGCGAGTGCAGAGTGACTTGGGAGGATTGAGAGAATGTGAGGCATGAGTGACTGTGAAGATTGAGTGATTAAGAGAACTAAGCGACTGAGAGGATTGAGTGACTGGGAGGACTGAGTGAAATGATACTCTGAGAGTATGCATATGGTTTTATCATTGAGGTGCATCGCATTGACATGCACACTTGATATACATGCATAGAGATGTATTTTCCTTATGATGTACGATATCACGTCATTCATGACTTCTCACACATATTGGCATATGGGCATATTGATGCATTTTTCACTGCCTATGTGGAAAGAAAATGAAATATCTTATTTATTGTTGAAAGGAATTTTGGAAAAATTACTGTTTCAAACTTACTCATATTTTTGGCAACTTCGGTAAAACTTACTGTTTCAAACTTACTCACTAATACACTTGAAAGGCAAAGTTATTTTCAGAAATCATGATTAAGTTGAGCATGTTATTGTTGAATTATTACTTGTGCTGCTATAAATTATATTGTTATGAAATGTTATTGGCTATTGGTGTTGGACCCCGACTTGTGTTCCAACTCGTCACTACATTCAACCTAAGGTTAGGTTTGTTACTTATTGAGTACATGAGATCGGCTGTACTCATACTACACTTCTGCACCTTGCATGCAAATATTGGATGTTGATGTTGCTGCGATCGACGGGAGCTGGATTTAAAGACGTACCTGTGTTCCGGTTATAACTATCTCTTGTTCATGGTAGCCTTAGATTTATAAGAATCTATTTATGTACACTTCGAACAGATGATGTATTTACTTCATACCAGTTTTGTAAATTCTAATCTTAGAAGCTCATGATTTGTACTACCAGTCCTTCGGAAGTTTAATAGGGTTAGTTAAATATTATTTGAATCAGATATTTATAAATTGGCTTACCTAACGGGTTGGGTTAGGTGCTATCACGACTAGTTAGATTTTGGGTCGTGACATAAACAGATCCAATTCAACAAATAACAAGTAATTGATAAACTTCTCATGAAATTGGAATTTAAAACTAGAAATGTGAAACTGTTAATCTTCAATCTAATATCTTATCACATAATCCTTAGCGGAAACAATATTTCACATTCATGTTATGCCAATAATAGAAAAGGGTCCATTAAAAAAGGAACAAGAAACTGGACAAGAATAAAAGAAAAACTTATGCAAAGTTGCTTTCTGAAGCATAAGGATTTAGAGGAGAAAAAGTGCAAATCCTCATAGAAGAATTTAAGATACTCATACCCAATTAAGTACTTCATTAATAAAAGACAATCACAAAAATTGGTTTCCCATAATATAGTGCAGAAGCAATCGGGTAAAGAAATTGAAGATAGAGTTCTTACCGGTTCTTCTCCACTACTAGAAAACTACATAAAACCGTCCAGAAAATACCGAACGAAATCGGTCGAAAAACTGGCAATATCGACCGATAGCCGACTATAATTCGTCAAAATTAAGTTGGTCGGTAAAAATTAACGACCGAAGTCGGTCGGTAAATTATTTTTCACAAACGACCCAAAAAGAAAAAATTTGACCAAAGTCGGTCGATATTTTCCGACCGAATTCGGTCAGTATTTTTAATTATACAATTAAAAAAATACACCATTTGGGACTCGAACCAGGGTCTGTATTGTGGCAGGATACTATTATACCACTAGACTATTGGTACATTTTTGTTTAAGACTTTCTTTTAATTTATTTGTACTCTTTAATTATATTTTCGCGCGAAATAACTGACCGATTTCGGCCGATTTTATTAAAAATTTAAAATTACCAACTGAAGTCGATCGATTTTTTTAATATTAATTTTAACTTATTTTATATGAAAAAAACAATCGATTTCGGTCGGTTTCTTAAAAAATGAATTTCGCGGGATGCTAAAATAGTTTCCCGCATTTTGGCGCCAAACAACCGACCAAAGTCGATCGGTTTCGTAAACAAATATATATATATATTGAAAAACACCGACCGACTTCGATCGATTTTTTCAACCGAAGTCAGTCTGTTGACCGCGATCGATTTTGGTCAAATTTCTAGTAGTGTCCGAGCAGCAGCAACATGACGCAACAATTAGGAAGGCTTTTTCAAATAGAACTGATAAGAAAAACCCAAGCAAGAATGGTTACTATAGAGTGGGCAAAAAGTCCGTAAAAAGTAATGGGAAAAAAACATAAAGAGCGAGCCCATTAGTCTTCACAACTCCTTTTGGCCCTAAAAACTTATAAAAAATATCCCTAAAATAATGTAACCATATGAAATGGTGTAGCGGATTTTTTGGGCAAACACAATCTTGCTTTTCTTTCTCTCTTCCCCCTTTCTTTGCTTTCTCTCTCCTTCCTTTTTCATCTTCCTCTTCATCAAAATTTCAAAGGACCTTAATAATGGAGCTTCTCTTAATTTCCGTGGCACAAATCACAAAAACCTCGGCGTAGTCATTTTCTCTGTCATTTTCTCTGTCATTTCCTCTCTTCGATGTATATATACTATGTATAAACATTATGCAGTGTATGCTTGATGTATAATCACTATAAATCTGGGTACAATCAGCATATATACATTATACGCTTAGTTATACAATGATTATATGCTGAGTTATACAATGATTATACCCTGAGTTATATAATAATTATGCACCAACCCTCCGTCTCCTTCTCTTCGTGTTTATGAGCAAGCTGTAAAAATTCTTATCTATCAAACGTTTTCGAAATGTATTATCGACTCTAACACCATTATTGATGGATTGATCCATTGCTTCGGGAATTGAACCTGTTGCTAGACTCACAAGTTCAGAAAAAGTTGTGAAATCAACAAAGAATTATCAAGGCCTGAGTATAATGAAGTCAAATTATATAAAAGATATTGATTGTCGATTTGGATCACTACTGAAAAAAGAGAACGGCTGCTATAATTTTGGTTTGAATAAGATGAAAAAATTGGTCTTTTTCTTGTCTTGTGAGAATGGTCATAAGAATAAAAGAATGGAAAAGGTGGAGAAATAATAGAAACGACTGATTTTGAGAGAGGGGGAGAGATGAATGGTTATAAATTTGGGAAAGAAAAGGAGAAAATTGACATATTTGGGAGATGGCTATAAATATGAAGTAATCTTACCGCATGGCTATTAAGTGTAATAAAATTAGATTAGGTTTATTATAAGTTTATAGTTAATATGGGCTGCTAATTCAGTTAATTGTTCAAAAATAATTTAAAGGCGAAAGGTTTGCCGCGTTTGATTTTGGAAAAAAATTGAAAATTTTAGGCTACAACCCATGCATGGCAATTTAATGTGTATTGCCAACAAAAAACTTTATTGTTGTCAATTTGCTTTATAATTTAATTTTATTATATTAAAAATTTTATTTTTTGCAACAAATAAAATTAGTTGTTGCCATTTATTAAAATTCGACAACAATACTATAGTTGTTGCTAGAACGATGTTGCCATTTTTAAAATTTAAAGTTTATTTTCTAAATCATAGATTATGGCAACAAAATTAACATGTTTGCCAACAAGAAAACTTTGTTGCCAAACCCAAAACCGTTGAGGTCAACACTTATCACATAAACCAACACAACCCCTTAGTGTCACTCCATGAACTAGCTAGAGAATTGTTGATGCACGCTACTTTATGATGTTTTATTTGTGTTTAAACCGTGATTTAGTACTCTATTCTCGTTGTTCTCGATTAAGATAGCTGGAAAGGCAATAAGCTTGATAATTAAGAATAGAGAGGCGAACCGTTATCCCTCAGTTTGAAGGCTGTGGTTCGTCTTAATGGGTCATAAAACAAATAGCTGGAACGACATATGGTTTACCTAGTGACACACTCCCAACTATCTGTTTGTTGTGACTCTTTAATAAAACTTTTCTATGAGATTCATCTAGCTAAAATAATTACTTTAGATTGTTAACCATAAGGTTCTTCCTAATCAGCAATATTCTACTGTACTTCTTTACTCATCTTTTGCTGATCGTATAAAACTATAGTGTACCTAATTTATGTAGTATATTTTTTTTAGTCTGTTTTAAAAAAAATATAATATTTTATAATAAAAAGTAATTATTAAAAATTTCACTTTTATCTTTAGTGAAATTAATTATAGCCACAGAATATATCTCAGACTTATTTTAACCTACCAGTTTCGATTTTTGTTTTTTAATTAAACTCTGTTATGCCATACAAATTGGAACGGAAGGGGTATATATTTGGCACCACGTGTTTTCTTTTTCTTCTCTTATTACCCATCTCGTCCCCTCCCCGCCCACCTCTCTTCCATTTCTTGGATCTTGTGTTCTTATAAATTACTACATTGGTAAAGTGGTTCACACCTTCAGTCTATGTGACTTGTGTAGTCAACATAATGGAAGTTTCTTTCTTCATTATCACCATCTTCCTCTTTTTCCTACCCTTACTGTTCATATTCATCAAGGATAACAAAAGAGGGCATAACTTGCCTCCAGGACCATGGAAGCTTCCAATGATTGGAAATTTGCATAATCTATTAAACTCCCTTCCTCATGTTGCACTCAAAGAATTAGCTGCGAGATATGGACCTTTGATGCACCTAAAACTAGGTGAACGTTCAACTATTATCATATCGTCGTATCAAATACTGAAAGATGTGATGAGAACAAGCAATACCACGTTTGCAGAAAGGCCGGAGCTTCTTGTTTCAAAGACCATAGCTTATGATGGAGGAGACGTTGCTTTTGCTCCCTACGGTGATTACTGGAAACAAATGCGCAAAATTTGCATTTTACAGCTCCTAAGTCCGAGCAGGGTTCACTCGGCTTATCCTTTAATGGAGGAAGAGATTGCGCGCTTAGTGAAATCTATTAAGGCCTCGGTTCCAGGTGCCCAAATCAATATGAACGAATGTCTTTACTCTCTCACTTGTAATATTATTTGCAAAGATTCAGTTGGAATGGCTTGTAGCAATCCAAACTCATTGATTTCTGCAATGAAAGGATTTTCACCTTTCACGGGAGTTTTAAATGTCTCGGATTTGTTCCCTTCCCTCGAGTTTCTTGATCAGTTCATCATAGGATCTAAACAAAAGCTACTTAAATTGCATCAACAATGTGATCGCCTTCTCGAAGAAATTGTCAGTGAACATGAAGCAAGCATACAAAACAATAACGGTGAGCTCATTGATTACGAAGATCTTATGCACGTTCTTTTAAGGCTTAGAGACAAGGAGAGCCACAATTATCAGGTCCCTATAACAAGAGATAACATCAAAGCTATAGTCTTGGTAATTACATTTTCCTGAATATCTTCCTCTACATCTTTCCTTTCTTTCATATGTAATATAGTAATTATTTTTTCCTATTTGGTAATATTCATTTATTGAGGAAGCTAAGAATTACAAAACAAACATGGAGGGAAGTGCCTAAAATTATCGCAAAATCTTATATACATTTCTACTTTTTTCTTCGAAATATAAGCAAAAATATTTTACTAGTATTTTTTATTTTCTTTTGGCTACAATATGAGCACTAAATCTTTGTTACTTGAGGACCTACAGGATATGTTCGTCGGTGGAACTGAAACAGTATCAACATCAATGGAATGGGCCATGTCTGAATTAGTGAAGAATCCAGCAGTCATGAAAAAAGTGCAAGCTGAAGTCAGAGAGACGTTGAAAGGAAAGAAAATAGTTGGTCATAGTGATATTCAGAATCTGAAGTACCTGAAAAATATAGTTAAGGAGACTTTAAGGCTTCATCCTCCTGGTCCATTGTCCTTGCCAAGGCAATCAATAGAGCAGTGCGTGATTAATGGATATGTTATACCTAATAAAACAATAGCCCTAGTGAATTTGTGGGCGATGGGAAGGGATCCACAATATTGGCACGATCCGGAGAAATTTGAGCCCGAGAGGTTCGACCTTGTTGATACCAAGGGAATTCCTATTGATTTCTTGGCATTTGGATTTGGGAAAAGAGTTTGTCCAGGAATATCATTTGGTGTAGCAAACTTTGAGCTTATTCTGGCTAGGTTACTTTACCATTTTGACTGGAAACTTCCTAATTGTATGAATCCCGAGGAATTAGATATGACTGAAACTTTTGGTGCTGCCGCTGCAAGGAAAAACAATTTGCACTTGATTGCTTCACCATATGATTATTAATTCACTCCAACTATCCAACTGACAAGATTTGGTCTTCTCAGAAGTTGCCTATTGTGCTTAGAAATGAAGTTAAGTCATTGATTTTCTCTTTCAGTATTCCCCCTTTTTTTTCTTTCTTTTCTTTTATTCCTCATGTACTGGATTGTGTAATAAGCTGTAGTTTTATTCTGCAGTGAGTGTTTGTGAATCCAATAGTATCCTTGTTTTCTTGAATTTGCATTGTAATAAATAAATAACACTCATATATTCCACAAGGTTATTTGTCGTAGATAGTTTCAAAGTTGTAATTGGATGCTCCGTGCGAGAAAGTTGAAAACAAATATGTGGATTGTGGGGAAATACATTGGCACCCACAATTGTAAAATGGACACATTCAGTGGGAATCATTTTAACTTGAATGTTGACTTGATTTCTCTTGTCTTGATTCCACACATTGAAGCGTCCATAAGGTACAAGATCAAAGAGAGTATAACATCTGTCCACCAGATATATAGATGTACCATTACCAAAAGAAAGGCATTTCTCGGGTATAAACGTGCATTTGAAATTGTTTATGGTAACTGAGATATGTCCTTTGCCGCTCTACCCATGTACATGACTGCATTGCAACACTTTAATCTCGGGGCTGTTATTGAATGGAAGCTTGAGCGGAGTCCGGGAATACCGAAAAACATATTTAGATATATGTTCTAGACATTTAAACCAGCCATTGATGGTTTGTGCATTGTCGGACGGTAATATCCATAGAGGACACTTATGTGTATGGAAAGTATGATATTAAATTGTTGATCGTCGTTGCAGTAGATGCTAATGGAAGTATATTTCCTCTAGCATTTGCTATTTGTGCCAATGAAAGCCAAGAGACGTGGACATTATTTTTGAACCACTTGAAGGAGCACGTTGTCAGACAATGTTCAGGTATTTGTCTAATATCTTATCGGCATGGCGGTATTTTAAGTTCTGTACAAAATTTGCGTGTATGACAGGAACCGTATCCCTACCGCCGTTACTGTGTTAGGCACTTGAAGGCCAACTTTCGGAGGGCTTATCCGAAAAAGCACTTACATGATTTAATGTGGATGGTTGCAACAGATCACCAAGAGTGTATAGTGAGGAGGCGAATGTAATTGATTAGGCAGGAAGACCCAGAAGCCAATCGTTGGCTAATGCGACATGAGCTTGACAAGTGGACTTTGCATGCGGATGGTGGTAGAACATGAAGAATTCTGACTATAAATGTGTCAAAGTCTGTCAAAGTCCCAAATGTATGAAGACCTATGGTTGCCCAGTAGCAACAATAACTCTCGAGATGCATGTCCGGAATGCACAAGAGGAACCTCCATGACGACATCTATAAATTGAACAATATTAATTAAAGTATTTTTTTTTTGATTGCTTAACATCTTTAAACATATTACAATATCTTATATATTAATATTTAAAAGATATTTTTACTATATTATATGTTAGTTTATTACATTATTTTATATGTTAGTTTATTATTTTATATGTTAGTTTATTATTTTACATGTTTGTTTCTTATTTTATATGTTAGTTTATTATTTTGTATGTTTGTTTCTTACTCGGCTATTTTTAGGTATAATAGAATTAAATAATTACTCCCCCCGTTCCAGTTTATGTGAACCTATTTTCTTTTTGGTCCATTCAAAAAAGAATGACCCATTTCTAAATTTGGAAATAATTTAGCTAATACAATTTTTGGGTTCAAATAATTGGAACGGAGGGAGTAATTTTTATAACTATACATGATATAATTAATAAGTATGCATATAAAAATACTTAGTTTGACAAATATTATTGTTTTTATGTTATTTTCTTTCATTTATTAACTAAAATGTGAGAGAGTTTGTATTTGAACTATCACTGTTTTTTCAGATATTTTTGGGGTTAACAGATAATTAAATGATTAATTTCAATAACTACAAAAATAATTTAGTAATTATTCATATAACACATACTTAGGTTGATAAATTTTCTGTATTAATATTTCATATGTTAGTTTACAACATTTTTCTACTAAAGTAACACTAATCTAAATGACCATGAACAAATTCAACTACCATTACCTAAACTTTATTATCAGTTTTACTACGCTAAAGGGCACTACATTACAATTATGGGCACAACATAACACTAAAAGGCACTAAACAATAATAAAGTCACATATTAATATACATACAACAATAAAATCCAAATAACATTAACTATTCATAAAATAATAATTTATCTATTGTACTAATTTTTTAGCACATAAATAATCTAATCCGGATAAAAAATAATAAATTAATTAAATCACAAAATAATTACGAATAAACATAGACCACAGTAGAAAACAACTAATACACATTTTTTATACATGAGTTTTATCAAAAAGTAAGTCGGAATACCGCGATTTAAAATTTTTTGAAAGGTGAAGATTTGATGATTGGGAGGCCGAAACGAGCAATCCACTATGCGATAACGCCTTAGATCCGGTGTTACCTTGCTACAATACGGAGAAGATATACTTTTTGTGGGATGGGGGAGGGACCGCTGAAATGGGGTTTGGGGGAGTGCACTCGTTTTCTGGTCGGGGGAGATAGAGGCCTACCTTTTTCAGTAGGTATAGCGCATCCTATATGCGTGCTATACCTCCCGCCCTTTTTGAGTTCAAATATAGCGCGGCAATTCACCGCGCTATACCTTAACGGACAATGTACCATTAAGGTATAGCGCGGTAAATTACTGCACTATATATAAAATGTTACTCAGTTGTTTTTTTTCCTACTTGTGTCGTTTTAGTCCAAACGAACCACACTTTGATTCCGGAATCACACTATATGGGGATCACATGTTTCCCTACAATAGACGAGTTCCAAGATTGATAAAAATTTATTACTCTTGTTCTCATTTTTTTTTTTTTTTTTTTTTTTTTTTTTTTTTTTTTTTTTTTGCCTTTCGGACCAATAAGGGGTGGTTTAGTTTAGAAATAAGTTATGCAAGGATCGTAACATAAAACTAATATTGCAATGGGTATCAATGCGAAGTTATAGAAAAGATTAATTGTTATTAAGTGTTTGGTTTCGTATTAAAAATTGTAATTTAGTAGATATTTGTTATTCAATGTTTGGTTTTTTATATATTAAAAACCATTACACATGTTATACTAACATGTGGGTTTTATTTGAATTTAAATGAGACTTTTGTTGCATCGTCGTTTAGATGAAGTTTGATTTATGTTTTTGTATTGGACAAGTTTGATTATTTTTGTTCATTTGAAAATGGAAAAGTTAGTCTCTTCTGTAATTCAAAATTGGACGATGGTTCTGGTTCTTCTTTATGGTACAAGAAATTCGGTCATATCTCCATTAATAATTCTCTTATAATATTTTCGATACCCTTAAATTTTTAGATTTTTATTCCACTACTAAGGCTATTTTTTTTTTCCGAATAATGCAAGGTTCCTTGAGGATGTATTGAGTTTGCGACGGGAGGGAGAGATTTTGTCTTTGAGAGGAACATGTTAACATTTCTCTAATTTCTATTGACAATGCTGAAGAACAACTTTCTATATTTGACATTGTTTAATAAGAAAATCCGGATCAAGACAATATCATTCAACATGCTTTTTAAGAAGTTATTTTCAAAGAGCAACTCTACAATCTTAAGAATCAATACTATTAAAGAGATGCATATATAGGCTTAAGCAAGCATCTAATTAATGGTATAATAAATTTTATTTAGTATCTCATTTTATTTCAGGATGAATCTTGTTGATGATTGTGTATACCACAAGTTCAGTGGGGAGTAAGCATATTTTTCTGATTAGTATGCATTTAGATATTTGTATATAATTTCGGGATGTGGTGCAGATATTTAAACAACTTAGAAATGTATCTTTATAAAGGAGCAAAAAAAAAAAAAATCATATGATGCCTATAGAGAACATATATACACTTTCTTATGTAAGAAAGTCCAAAAAGTTAAAAGATATTCAGATATTCGGATATTGACTCTACTAGATGCCAATATCATACGATATATATTTGGTTGATGAGGTATATAAGAAAGAGTGTTAAATGAACATTCATATCCCATTTGTAACGACTCGGGCGGTCGTTTTGAGTATTTCAGCCTCGTTCCCCCATTTACTGCTCAGCTTATGCTTTATAGTTATTTTATGACTTACTGGATTAGTTGGTTCGGGTCCGGAAGGATTTCGGAGTTGAATGAGACACTTAGTCTCATAATTAAAAACTCAAGTTGAAAAAATTGACCGGATGTTGACTTATGCGTAAACGACCTCGGATTTGAATTCTGATGGTTCCAATAACTCCATATGGTGATTTTGAACTTAGGAGCATGTCCAGAAATTATTTTTGATGTCCGTAGTGGAATTAGGCTTGAAATGGCGAAAGTTGAATTTTTTGGAAGTTTGACCGGGGGTTGACTTTTTGATATCGGGGTTGGAATCCGATTCTGGAAATTGAAATCTCTTCGTTATGTCATTTATGACTTGTGTGTAAAATTTGAAGTCATTCCGGATTGATTCGCTGTGTTTCGGCACAAGTTATAGGATTTAAAAGTTTAAAGTTCATAGATTTTGATTTCAGGTGCGATTCGTTGTTTGATGTAATTTGATGCCTCGAGCAGGTCCGTATTATATTATAGAACTTGTTAGGTGAGTTTTGGACGAAGTTGGATCATTTTCATTCCATATTGCATTGCTGAATATTTCTGGTTCTAGTGTGACCGCACCTCTGGAATGTTGGGCATAGGTGCGGAAACGCAAAAGCGGCAGTGTTACCGCAGAAGCGTGACGAGGAGCTGGACGTGAGGATCGCAGATGCGGGTGCTTGGTCGCACCTGCGCAACCGCAGATGCGGTTCACGTGCGCAGAAGCGAGAATCGCAAATGTGACCATGGACATCGCAGAAGCGGCCTGGGTTGCAAATGCGTTCCTTTTTCCGCAAAAGCGAGAGTCGCAGATGCGACCTCTTGTCCGCAGATGCGGAAGTCGCTGGGCAGAATCTTAAATTCGCGGTTTCGTTATTTTTAGCTATTTTCGTATTTTGGAGCTCGGTTTGGGCGATTTTGGAGAGGAATCTTTCCACATAACTTAGGGTAAGTGTTCTTGACTCCATTGTGAGTATATTCCATGAATAAATCTTAGTTTTCGGCGTTAGATTATTGATTTTTCAAGAGAAATCGGAGGAAGTTTCTACAATTTTATAAAATGAATATTCATG